CAGTGAAAAGATTTGACATGACCCACAATGGAAGAAAGGTGTCAATGCTGCTAACATCAGATGTTTTTGCATTGACAACAGATGGAAATGTAGCCATCTTTTACCTTTCGCTTTTAGAGTTAGACGACGCTGGGAGGGGGGATGTGAACGAGAGTCCAGCTAGACATAACAATACTCGACCCAGCGTGAGAAACAAGGTTATTGTAACCAGAGCTGATAAGGATTTGGCAGGCTGGAGAACGGGAGGGGAAGCCTGCGCTTCAAGCTAATTGGGGAATGTGATTTATGATTGCTAATTGGAGGAGGGAATTGTGCTTGGCTACGATGTGCTCAGGGGAGGGGAATCTAGTTTTTGGCTTCGATTATGCAATGCCGATGCTATGCTACTCAAAATAAAGATTCTTTAAGGTAAACAATGCCTCGAAGTTCTTTGAAGAGTTTCATCTGTCGGAATCATGACAAAAGGATGGTGGAATCAATGGAACTGGCAGAGATGGCAAAAATCGGCAGCTTTGGTTTTATCAGGGTGAGCAATGTGACCCCTTTATTCTGGGAATTCTGGGAGTTGAAGTCCACAAGTCATGAAGGGGCCAAAGTTTCCCCCATGCTGGCTCAGGAATTCTGGGAGTTGAAGTCCACGAGTCATGAAGGAGCCATAGTTCCCTCATGCTGGCTCAGGAATTCTGGGAGTTGAAGTCCACGAGTCATGAAGGAGCCATAGTTCCCTCATGCTGGCTCAGGAATTCTGGGAGTTGAAGTCCACGAGTCATAAAGGGCCATAGTTCCCCCATGCTGGCTCAGGAATTCTGGGAGTTGAAGTCCACAGGTCATTAAGGGGCTATAGTTCCCCCATGCTGGCTCAGGAATTCTGGGAGTTGAAGTCCACGAGTCATGAAGGGGCCAAGGTTGCCTACCCCTGGTCTTGCTGAATGTCATTTATGTACGGGGCTCTTCGGAGGGGTCTCTGGCTTGACCTTTAGCTGCAATTAGTCTGGAGAGGGGGCTCAAAGGAGCAGCAGATTTTTTGTGTGGTTGGAACCCCCCAGGGCTGATTGCTTGCTCCCTCAAGCAATCTTGATGCCTTTGCAGTCTGTCTTGCAGACAGATTCTTTATGCTAATTCATCCTAATTTTATAATTCTAACTTAATGAATATTGATTCCCGAGGTCCCTTTTTTTCTCCCTCCTTGCATGAAGAAGGGAAATTTGGCTGGAAACACGATTCCACCTTTCTATAGAAGGGGTCGGCCTATTTTTCCAAAGCACCTGAAGGCAGGACAAGAAGTAACGGATGAAAACTCATCAAGGAGAGAAGCAACCTGGAACTCGGGAGAAATTTCCTGACAGGGAGAAGAATTAATCAGAAGAGATTGGACAACGAAATAATAATAATAATAATAATAATAATAATAATAATAATAATAATAATAATAATAACAACAACAACAACAACAACAACAACAGCAGCAGCAGCAGCAGCAGCAACAACAACAACAACAATAATAATAAAAAAGTTGGAAGGGACCTTGGAGGTCATCGAGTCCAACCCCCTGCTCAGGCAGGAAACCCTATACCGTTTCAGACAAATGGCTGTCCAGTCTCTTCTTAAAAACTTCCAGTGTTGGAGCATTCACTGCTTCTGGAGGCAGGTTGTTCCACTGATTTATTGTTCCCACTGTGAGAAAATTCCTCCTTAATTCCAGGTTGCTTCTCTCCTTGATGAGTTTCCATTCGTTGCTTCTTCTCCTGCCTTCAGGGGCTTTGAAGAATAGCTTGACTCCCTCTTCTTTGGGGCAGTCCCTCAGATACTGGAACGCTGCTATCATGTCTCCCCTGGTCCGTCTCTTCATTAGATTTCTTCTTCTTCTTCTTGTGCCATATCTGTTATCGGACGTTGGCGATCATGTTGGCGATCCTGTTTTTATCAGCAGCTGCACGAAAAAGTGCTGCTGAGTTTTGTCCAAACCAGTCCCTTAGATTTTGAAGCCACGATGTTCTTCTTCTGCCTGGACCTCGTTTGCCTTCAATCTTTCCCTGGAGGATTAAATAGAGTATGCCGTATTTTTCATTAGACTATACTATACCTGTACATTTGGTTTTTCTTGCCTAAATGTAGAACATTTTCTTTTTTCACCATTGAATTTCGTTTTGTTAGATAGCGCCCAGTGTTCAAGTCTGTCCAGATCCTCCTGTATCTTAAGCCTGTCTTCTGGAGTGTTGGCTATTCCTGCCAGCTTGGTGTCATCCGCAAATTTGATCCCCTCATCCATATCGTTGATGATGATGTTGAAGAGCACTGGGCCCAGAAAAGAGCCCTGGGGCACCCCACTACACACTTCCCTCCATGTAGATGCGGTGACCACAGGGATGATGCAACTATTGTCATGTGTGAAAAACGGTCATAAGTCGCTTTGAGAAGCTGATAAAGGACACTATTGTCTCTAGCCTCCCACCAGCATTTGACCCATTTCAGTTTGCCTACCGACCAAATTGCTCTACGGAGGATGCTATTTCTTCCATTCTCCATCTGAGCCTGAAGCACTTAGAGGAAAGAAATACTTATGTGCGTCTGCTGTTTGTCGACTTCAGTTCGGCGTTTAACACAATCATTCCCCAGCATCTAGTAGACAAACTGGGCCTTTTAGGCTTAAACACCGCTTTGTGCAACTGGATTCTTGATTTTCTTACCAACAGGCCCCAATATGTGCGAGTTGGAACAAATACCTCTAATACCATTTTCTTGAGCACAGGTTCTCCTCTTAAGTCCACTGCTGTTCACCCTGTTGACTCATGACTGTTGTGCCAGGTTTGCCACCAACCATATTGTGAAGTTTGCAGATGACACAACAGTAGTGGGCCTTATTCAGGATGACAAGGTGGAAGCTTACCGCAAGGAGGTTGAGGGGTTGGTGAACTGGTGTAAGGAAAACAGCCTAGTTTTAAATACCGGAAAAACCAAAGAGATCATTGTTGATTTCAGAAAAGGCAGGCACAGCCACACTTCTCTGTGCATTAATGATTCACCTGTGGAGACGGTTACCAGCATCAAATTCCCGGGTGTGCAGCTAATGAGTAGGCTGACTGGGTCGCTCAACAGTGAGAAACTGGTGAAGCGGGCACAGCAGCGCCTGCATTTTCTGCATCGCATGAGAAAAGCACATCTTCCTTCCCCTGTCCTGACCACTTTCTACAGGGGGACGATCAAGAGCATCCTGACATACGGCTTCACAGTCTGGTTTGGAGGCATCCCTGCTTCAGACAGGAAGGCGGAGCAGAGAGTGGTGAGAATGGCCAAAAAGATCATTGGCAGTTCCCTCCCTCTCATCCAGGACATAGCACAGAAGCGTTGCTTGAGCAGGGTCCGTAAGATTATCTGGGACACTACACATCCTCTTCCTTCTGACCTGTTTTCCTTATTACCTTCTGGGAGGAGGGGGCTTCGTGGTATCCATAGCAGAATATCCAGATTCAGCCAGAGTTTCATTCCATACAGCATTAACCTTGCGAACTCTCAAGCTTCCTCCTTCCGTGATATATTCAAGATGGACAACATTTAATATTTATTTTCTATGTATATGTAGGGATGTGGGTCTATACATATGTTGTTCATAGTATGTTTAGGTGTGTGTCATGTATGTGTTTCACTTTGAGAGCGGGCAACTAAATTTCATTTTTGATGTGTGCCGTTGTGCCCACAGTAAAAAAATGACAATAAAGGTTATCTTATCTTATCTTCAGTGCCGTTGTAACTTTGGACAGTCAGTAAATGAACTGTTGTAAGTCAAGCATGTTAATTTTTCTAATCGGGCAGAGAACATCCTTCTGCAAGGTAAGGAAGGAAATAAACGTGAAATAAAGGTTTCATGTGGGTGGGTTGTTTTTTTAGTTAGGTAGGACAAAGGGGTGTGTGGGTGTGTAAATGCGCCTCCTCTCCTTGCACAATTCTCTCTCTGCAGAGTGCAAGGGATGGCCTTTCACCCATCACCGCTGGACATCTTTGGGTTGGGAAACTGGGCAACCTGGAACATTCCCTCATGGCAGAAAGACACGCCGGATGGAAAAAATCGGCTTCAGTGTTTCTGCCGTCCCCCTAATAAGGCAGGCTCTCAAACCAGCATTCAAATATTTTAAACTATTTGAGGATTCTGACCATACGGTGGGAAGAAGCATTGGAAAAACGGGAGAGCCGGCTCAGCAGAAGACTCTAACCCAGGGGTGGCTCCTCAAATGGGTGACGCATCCCAGTAGGCCATAAGAGTCTGGTCTAGTGGTTAAGGGGCTGGTCTAGAAATTGGGAATCAGGGAGTTCTAGTCCTGCCTTAGGCATGGAAGCCGTCTGAGTGACTTTGGCCAGTCGCCAGGAGACAGTGAGTTCTAGTCCTGCCTTAGGCATGGAAGTCAGCTGGGTGACTTTGGGTCAATCACCAGGACACTGGGAGTTCTAGTCCTGCCTTAGGAGATATGAAAGCCAATTGGGAGACTTTGAGCTAGTCCTTCTGTCTCCCAGCCTATCCCACCTCACAGGGTTGTTGTTGCTGGGGGGGGGAAGGAAGAAGGAATATTATACATGTTTGCCACTTTGTATTACTTATAAACTAATAAAGCCGGATTAAAAAAATCTAATAAATCCATGAAGACAGGTGCGGCGTGCTTTCCAATGCTCCATTGGCGTCTTTCCCAAGAGGAGAAGGTGCACCAGAAGGAAGATGGGTCCCTTCAAACTTCTCTTGAACGTTTCTGCTGCTTTTGGGTGAGGTGGCTGAGATGCAACAGAGAAGCAAGAATTTATGACCCAGCCCTACACACTGAACCGGTCCAGTGTGCCAAAAGGGGCTGGGTTTCCTCCAGATTTCCACATTAATTACTGTAATTGTACCCAGCACCGTGTTCTTCTTGGACTGGCAGAGGCCACAGACTTTGCCCCTTCCTCCCGCAACCAGCACCACAACGTTGGGTCAGCGTCTTCAGTCCGAAGAAAGTGGAACGGGCTCGGTTGCTAGGATGAAGATTGAATTCGCTCCTCGCCACATCCCGTGGGAGAGACGGCTTCAGACGGCTTCAGTGCTTCAATGGGTCTTCTGTTTTTTCTGCATGGGTAAAAAAAAAAGATAGTTATTCCTAATTAAGGGGACATTTTTAAGGATATGGAGGTTGTTGGGGGGGAGGGAGGGGGCTGTCTTTTAAGGCAGAGATCCCCAACCTTTTGGGCACCAGGGACCGGTTCTGTGGAGAGAGGTTTTTCCATGGACCTGAGGGTGTGCAGTTTTGTGTGCTGCCTGCATCATGTGGATGTGGCTTTGCTTGTTTGTGCAGACCGGTTGCTGGCATGCTGCAGCCCGGTACCGGTCCACAGACTGTGGGTTGGGGACCCCTGTTTTAAGGGGGTTACCAGAAAAATCTGCACCGGTGGTTTGCATTGCGCAGCAAAACCGAGGGGTACATTTTGCAGAAATAAGACTCTGAGATGGACAGGGATTAGTTTTGCAAGCTCCTTCAGGCAGGGATCTACCTTTCTTTTTTGTTGGCCTCGACTTACAACAATTCATTTAGTGACCAATGTCACAACGGCACTGGAAAAAAGTGTCTTATGACTGTTTTTTCAAGCTGACAATCATCACAGCAGTCCCATGGCCAGCTGATCAAAATTCAGACACTTGGCAACTGGTTCATATTTATGACGGTTGCAGCGTCCTGGGGGGGTGTCACATGATCCTCTTTTGTGACCTTTTGACAAGCAAAGTCAACGGGGGAGGCCAGATTCACTTAACAACCGTGTTGCTCACTTAACTGCAATAGTTCATTTGTGGCAAGAAAAGAGTAAAACAGGGCAAAATTCGCTTCACAGCGCTCTCGCTTAGCGACAGAAATTTTGAGTTCAATGGGGTCGTAAGCCAAGGACTACCTTTATAACATATTCTGGATGAAATTAATCAAGGAGAGAAGCAATCTGTCACTAAGGACAAATTTCCTGACAGTGAGAACAATTAATCAGCGGAATGACTTTTTTCCAGAAATTGCCCCATTCACAACTCGTGGACTTCAACTCCCAGAATTCCTGTGCCAGCATGGGGGAACTATGGTCCCCTCATGACTCGTGGACTTCAACTCCCAGAATTCCTGAGCCAGCATGGGGGAAACTATGGCCCCCTCATGACTGGTGGACTTCAACTCCCAGAATTCCTGTGCCAGCATGGGGGAACTATGGCCATGACTCCCCCTTACTTTAATGGCAAGTTGGAACAAAGAGGCCTGTAGCTGCCAAAGTTTCATTCTTGACACACAGCTAAGGGGAAATCCTGTCCTTGGAAAAGTGTAGAAATTTCTCTTCCAGGAACACCGTAGAGAATTTTGATAGGTTACCATGCTGCTGCTTTTATTTTGAAATAGAGCACTGAAATGTTTTTCCATCGGAAAAATGAAGAGGGGTCAGTTTGGAAGCGTAGATCAAGTGGGCACATCTTGTCCCCAAAACTCTGCTATCTGTTGTCGAGGGAGATTCTCCATCCTCCAGGTCATCACTGTCCCAAAGATGCTTTTTCAAGAGGCAACTGGACTTTCTTATTTTTCCTTTGAAGATGTTTCACTTCTCATCCCAGAAACTGCTTCAGCTCTGACTGGATGGTGGGGAAATGGAAGGATTTATACTCCTTGCAGAAAAACTGGTCATTTGCATCCTTTTTAGAGAGTCGTTGAGGCCACTTGGAGATTTATCTGTGTCCTCAGGGTCACCTGAGTGGTGCAAATGGGTGTGGAGTCTCTTTGGAACTGCTGAAAGGACAGTGTTGTAGACTGGAGAGACATAGAATCCCACCACTGGTTCTCCTGCTTGGGCAGGGGGTTGGACTAGAAGACCTCCAAGGTCCCTTCCAGCTCTATTCTATTCAATTTCTCTCTCTCCAGAAGGGGTGCACATTGGTCTGTTTTTCATGTTGTATTTATATGGTGCCTGGTTGTGTGTGGCTCTTAGTGGTTAATTAGGGTGTTGGTGGCCAGCTATTAAGTCGTTAATTGTCACGCCCTTGGCTCCTAAGTACCTGGTAAGCGAGTAATAAATCAGCATGCCTATTGGCTGACAAGGGGCCCGTTTCTCAGCCTTTAGTAATTTCTCTGGCTATTTTTGTCCCTGCTTGGCTGACAATCTTAATAGATGTGAAATTGAATGAATGTCCTTGTTCATTGCAGTGTGAGACTTCCAATGAGTTTGGGTCTCTTCATCTAACTGCTCAGTTGTGTTCTTGCAATCTGGTGGTTAGCTTCCTCCCACCTGTCCCACACAGTCTCAGGGGCAATCCAGGCAGGGAATCCAGTAAATTACATTCCAAGTTTCACCCACATCCAAACAATCTTTGTACTTCACTAACATCTGATCTAAGTTTGGGAGAGACCAACACAGGATTGCATAATTGTCCAACATCTTAAAAAGCTATCTTTCCACGCTTCAGTTACAGATTAGGTGAAACTTGGCTTAAGAGCAGTAACTGTGAGAGAGATCTCGGAGTCTTAGTGGACCATCACTTAAATATGAGCCAGTAATGTGTTGCAGCTGCCAAAAAGGCCAACACTTTCCTACAGTACATTAACAGAGGGATAAAATCAAGAGTATATGAAGTGTTAATACCACTCTACAAGGCCTTGGTAAGGCCACACTTGGAATACTGCATCCAGTTTTGGTCACCACGATGTAAAAAAGATGTTGAGACTCTAGAAAGAGTGCAGAGAAGAGCAACAAAGATGATCAGGGGACCGGAGGCTAAATCATACAAGGAACGGTTGCAGGAATTGGGTGTGTCTAGTTTAATGAAGAGAAGGACGAGGGGGGACAGGATAGCAGTCTTCCAGTATCTCAGGGGCTGCCCCAAAGAAGAGGGAGTCAACCTATTTTCCAAAGCACCAGAAGGCAAGACAGAAGCAATGGATGGAAACTGAACAAAGGGAGAAGCAACCTGGAACTGAGGAGAAATCTGCGGAGGAGAAAACAATCAGTGGGTTTTTTTGTAAAAAAAAAAAAAAAAAAAAGGTGCCGGAACTCACACACTTCATACAACCCGCCTTGCCTACCCTACAAGGTTCTATCCAAAAAAGGTGCCGGAACTCAGTTCTGGGTATTCTTTGACAAAAAAAGCCCTGAGAATAATCAACCAGTGGAATGGCTTCCCTCCAGAGATTGTGGATGCTCCATCATTGGAGGTTTTTAAGAAGAGACTGGACCAGGGGTAGGCAACCTTGGCTCTTTTATGACTCATGGACTTCAACTCCCAGAATTCCTGAGCCAGCATGGGGGAACTATGGCCCCTTCATGACTTGTGGACTTCAACTCCCAGAATTCCTGAGCCAGCATGGTTCAACTTGGAAACTCTCCCTTTCCCCTCAGTATGGCTGACTCAGGAATTCTGGGAGTTGAAGTCCACGAGTCATAAAAGAGCCAAGGTTGCCTACCCCTGAACGGGACAGTCGCTTGTCTGAAATGAAACAGGACTTCCTGCTTGAGCAGAGGCCTGGACTAGAAGACATCCAGGGTCCCTTCCAGCTCTGTTATTCCTGATTAGGGAACCAAACATGTTAATGTGAAAGACCCCTAACAATTCTCCCTTTTCTTCCTCCAGCTCAGTGCTCCATTGCCGTCTTCATCCTCCTCCTCTTCACACGCTTCTGGCTGATCAGCGCCCTCTATGCTGTTTGGTGGGCGTTCGACTGGGACACCCCGAGCAAAGGTGGGCGGCGCTCCCACTGGATGCGGAATTCGGTCGTCTGGCAATACATGAAAGATTATTTCCCGGTTTCGGTACGTGTCCCCCTAGAGCAGGGGTGTCAAACTCAATTTCATTGAGGGCCGCATCAGCATTGTGGTTGCCCTCAGGGGGCTGGGTGGGTGTGGGCAGGGTGGGTGTGGCCTACTGGGTGGGTGTGGCCAGCTCTGCATCGTTCGCGTCAAGGGTGCCTGTAGGGGCCTGGGCAGTAGCGGGATAGATCTGAGGGTCCCTGGCAGAAGGGAGTGGGACCAGGGCAAGTGCCAAGGCATGGTCCACTGGAGGAGCCTTGCTGTTCCTCTCAGGCCATGCGGGGGCAGGGACTTATGGAACTAAGACTGAATGCGTTTCAGCATAGATGGCCACCACAAAATTGTACATTGGCTCCAGCTGGCCTGGGCCAGGGCCATGGCAGAGGGGGCAGTTCCCTCACTGTTTCCAGGATGGCTTCGTGGGACACATGAAACCACTTCGCGGGACGCATCCGGCCCCCGGGCCTTGTGTTTGACATGTCTGCCCTAGAGGGAAGGAGTATAATGGCATGGGAGAAAGACCTTGGGAGATGGGGATGAAGAGAAGCTGCTTAGGGAACGAGCGGATAAGAGGCAGCGGAGCCTCCAGCTGCATAATGGGTGGAGAAAGAGGCTGTCAAGGAGATGACGGGAGATTTATACAAGCAGTCCTTGACTTACAACCATTAAGTTAGTGACCGTTTGAGGTTACAACGGGCCTGAAAAAAGCGACTGATGAGAGCTTTTCACAGAGGCTGCAGCATCCCCGAGCTGATCTGATTGAAATTCAGATGCTTGGCAACTGGCATGTACTTAGGCCGGTTGCAGTGTTTCCTTTTGGAACCTTCTGACAAGCAACGTCCATGGGGAAGCCAGATTCACTTAACAACCATGTTACTAACTTAACAGCTGCAGTGATTCACCTAATCACTGTGGCAAGAAAGGTCACAAAATGGGGTAAAACTCACTGAATTACTGTCATTTAACGGATAAATGATGATTGTATTTTATGATTACGATCATGATTTATCGCTTGTTGCTTGCATGTGCACTGAGAGATGATGCAGCAGAGACAAATTCCTTGTGTGTCCCATCACACTTGGCCAATAAAAAATTCTCTTCTCTTCTCTTCTCTTCTCTTCTCTTCTCTTCTCCTTCTCCTTCTCCTTCTCCTTCTCCTTCTCCTCCTCCATCTCCCCTTCCCTCCCCATGCCATGCCATGCCATGCCATGCCATTCCATTCCATGCCATTCCATTCCATTCCATTCCATGCCATGCCATTCCATTCCATTCCATTCTTTCCCATTATTCTGTATTCTGTTCTGTTCTGTTCTGTTCTGTTCCAACACTGGAAGTTTCAAGAAGAGGCTGGACAGCCATTTGTCTGAAATGGTATAGGGTTTCCTGCCTGAGCAGGGGGTTGGAGTAGATGACCTCCAAGGTCCTACCAGCTCTTTTATTCTGTTCTGTCCTGTCCTGTCCTGTCCTGTCCTGTCCTGTCCTGTCCTGTCCTGTCCTGCCCTGCTCTGCCCTGCCCTGCTCTGCTCTGCTCCGTTCCGTTCCGTTCCGTTCCGTTTTATTTCTATTCCATTCAGTGGTGGGATTCAAATATGTGAACAACTGGTTCTCTGTGTGGATGCTGCTTCTGGAAGTCCATTCTGGGCCTGGGCAACAAAAAATTAGCTACCAGTTCTGCCAAAGTGATGTGAACTGGCTGAATCCCACCACTGATTCCATTCCATTCCATTCCATTTTATTCCATTCCATATTTTCTGTTCTGTTCTGTTCCGTTTCCATTCCCATTCCATTCCATATTTTCTATTCTGTTCTGTTCCTGTTCCGCTTCCGATTCCGGTTCCGCTTCCGGTTCGATTCGATTCGATTGATTCGATTCCATTCCATTCCATTCCATTCCATTCTATTCTATTCTATTCTATTCTATTCTATTCTATTCTTATTCTTATTCTTATTCCTGCTTAGCAGTGGAAATTTTGGGTTCAACTGTGGTGTATCACAATTTCATGTAGATATTTCCTCAGCCCTCCTTCTGACCCCCACAATATACAGGCCTCTGATGGGAGGTAGGCTGGTTGCGACGTGTTTTTTTTTTTTCCTGCAGTCCTAACAACCTGACGGTGTCTGTGCCTGCCCTGTTTGATTGTTGTACCAAACTGGACATACGATATCTATGGAGATTCTCAGTCATCCAGGTCATAGTTATCCCAAAGATGTTTGTTTTTTTTTCACGAGGCAAGTGGACTTTCTTGTTTTTCCTTGAAGACAGAGCTGAAGAAGCTTCTTGGATGAGAAGCGAAACGTCTTCAAAGAAAAACTAGTAAGTCGAATAGCCTTGTGGGGGAAAAAAAATCTTTTGGACAGATGATAGTTTTATGTCAAGACATTGATATAAAATTTGCCAAATTTCCCTTCTGTGGGAGTCATGCATCCTGGATTTTGGTCACATTCTGCCTCTTAGCCTGTTTGGGGTACCTTGGTTCAGAAACAGTAGCCCTATGATGCTCCATTTCACCCCAGTTGTAGGTTACATAGACAGACAAGCAGGATGTTTTTAGTCGTATATAGATTCAGAAGATGCATTAAATTATCTTTTCCACACAAAGTAACAGAGTCCTTAAATCAGTGCCCAACAGATAAGATATTTAAGCCACAAGAGATTGGTCTCTAAATAGACAAAACTCTACCCTTAAACCAGGGGTCTTCAAACGTGACCCTTTTATGACTTGTGGACTTCAACTCCCAGAATTCCTCAGCCAGTATGGGGGAACTATGGCCCCTTCATGACTTGTGGACTTCAACTCCCAGAATTCCTGAGGCAGCATGAGGGGAACTATGGCCCCTTCATGACTTGTGGACTTCAATTCCCAGAATTCCTCAGCCAGCATAGGGGAACTATAGCCCCTTCATAACTTGCGGCTTTCAACTCCCAGAATTCCTCAGCCAGCATGCCTGGCTGAGGAATTCTGGGAGTTGAAGTCCACAAGTCATAAAAGGGCCAAGTTAGAAGACCCCTGCCATAAAAAAAGCACTAGTTGATGATACCAGCCCTGACCTCAATTAGCTTTTCAGTACAGACAAAGCAGCCAGGTGCCGCCCCCTGGTGGCACAGTATGAAAAAATAAGGAGTCTGGATGTCATTTTTCCAGACTAGGAAATTGTACAAATCAACAAAACAAACAACAACAGCTGCAAGGACCAATCCAGGCAGTTGTGAAGAGCCGAGACTGACTTGGAGTGACAAATCAATAAACGGGAAAGTTATGCTCATGAAAATCATTGCTGTTGGATATACTAAATCGGGGGTCTTCAAACTTGGCAACTTTTTAAGACTTGTAGACTTCAACTCCCAGAATTCCTCAGCCAGCATGGGAGAACTATGGCCCCTTCATGACTTGCGGACTTCAACTCCCAGAATTCCTCAGCCAGCATGGGGGAACTATGGCCCCTTCATGACTTGTGGACTTCAACTCCCAGAATTCCTCAGCCAGCATGGGAGAACTATGGCCCCTTCATGACTTGCGGACTTCAACTCCCAGAATTCCTCAGCCAGCATGGGAGAACTATGGCCCCTTCATGACTTGCGGACTTCAACTCCCAGAATTCCTCAGCCAGCATGGGGGAACTATGGCCCCTTCATGACTTATGGACTTCAACTCCCAGAATTCCTCAGCCAGCATGGGGGAACTATGGCCAGCATGCCTGGCTGAGGAATTCTGGGACTTCAAGTCCACAAGTCTTAAAGTTGCCAAGTTTGATGACCCCTGCAGTAAAAGTTTAATTTCTCATGCTTGCAATAGAGCTAGACTTAAAACAGTTCACTTAGTGTCCGTTCGAAGTTACAACGGCACTGAAAAAAAAGTGACTTACGATCCTTTTTCACACTTATGACCGTTGCAGCCTCCCCATGGTCACGTGATCCAAATTCAGATCCTTGGCAACTGACTCACAGTTATGAGCACTGCAGTGTCCCAGGGATCACCTGATCCTTTTTTGTGACCTTCTGACAGGAAAAGCCAACGGGCAAAATCAGATTTTTTTTTTTATATCGACTCTCCAAAACTTCTGTGGGAATCATATACCCAGTTAATATAACCACAAATGTTGCATAAATGATCGGTCATTGTGTGCTTCCTTCTCTTTTAAAGAGAATTTAAGAGTGGGGAAGAGTTGACGTGGTTAGCCGAATTGTAGTTTTTTTTTACTTTTGCAATCAAATCTAGAAGGTGGCATCTTCCTGTCAACACAACCCAGGTTGTGCCCACTTGACTGGGTTCAAAAGCCTCTTTGTGGCTGTGGGAAGAGGGCTCAAGAGGGCTTTTTTAAAAAAAGAGAGATTGCCAAGGGGTCGTTTTCTCATGCAATTATCTTTCTTTGAGTGGTTCTTTGGCCTACAGCCAAACAGGTGTTGCAGGCTTTTGAAATACAACAAAGAGCTTTGTGATGGCCTGGGGTTTAAGGAGGAAGGTTGTACACACCAGAAAAAAAGCCCTATTTTTCATTTTCATACTATCTGGAGAAAAGCAAAGTCTTACATTTCGGCAGGCAAAAACCAAAGGCACAAATACAGCCTGGGCGAGACCTGGCTTAAAAACAGTAACTGTGAGAGGGACCTTGGAGTCCTAGTGGACGATCACTTGACCAGGAGCCAGCAGTGTGCAGCAGCAGCCAAAAAAGCTAATACAATCCTGAGTTATATGGATAAATATACAGACAGACAGACAGAGAGATATAGATAGATAGATAGATAGATAGATAGATAGATAGATAGATAGATAGATAGATAGATAGATAGATAGATAGACAGACAGACCACAGATAGATAGATAGATAGATAGATAGATAGATAGATAGATAGATAGATAGATAGATAGATAGATAGATAGATAGATAGATAGATAGATAGGCAGGCAGGCAGGCAGGCAGGCAGGCAGGCAGGCAGGCAGGCAGGCAGGCAGGCAGGTAGACAGACAGAGAGATAGATATAGATATAGATATATAGATATAAGATGGTAGAGGACAGGAAGACCTGGAGGAACATTGTCCATGGGGTTGCAACTTCGCAATTAACAACAATAGAGATAGATAGATAGATAGATAGATAGATAGATAGATAGATAGATAGATAGATAGATAGATAGATAGATAGCTATGATATATGATAGAGAAATAGAGATAGATAGAGAGATAAACAGGTTTGTGTGTGTATGTGTGTGTGTGAGAGAGAGAGAGAGAGAGAGAAAGAGAGAGACATAGATGGAAGAGAGAGAGAATGAGAAGGAATGAGAGAGAGAGAGAGAGAGAGAGAGAGAGAGAGAGAGAGAGAGAGAGAGAGAGAGAGAGAGAGAGAGAGAGAGAGAGAGAGAGAGAGAGAGAGAGAGAGAGAGAGAGAGAGAGAGAGAGAGAAAGAAAGAGAGAGAGAGAGAGAGATAATCCCATTTCTAAAGAATTAACTTTGTAAGGATTAAAGGAGGAACATGATGTACCCAACCAGGCCAGTTCATAGCCGTGAGCTCCATAACAGCCTCATTAATCAGAAGGAATTGTGAAAGACGCCCATTGCGAGTGGCTAGTAAACAGCTGGGATCTGCCTGCGCCTGATGCGCCTGGTGATAAATTGAATGCAGTGAGCAAAAGAAGCCTGGAAGTTCAGAAAGGGAAAAGTTTAGTGTGCTCAGATCAATGAGTGTGGCAGGAAAAAAAATGGCAGCTGTGCTTTGAGAAACAAGGCGAAGGGTCATCTTAGCCTCATAGAATGTAAGAGTCAGAAGGGACCTCAGAGGTCATACAATCCAACCCAGTATAACCCATCCTTTCATCATCTTTCTTACAAAAGAGAGCTGAGACAGCATAAGAGAGCCAGTTTGGTCTAGTGGGTTAAGGCATCAGGCTAGAAAGCAGGAGATCAGGAGTTCTAGTCCCGCCTTAGGCACGAAAGCCGGCTGGGTACTTTGGGCCAATCACCAGGAGACGCTGAGTTGTAGTCCTGCCTTAGGCATTGTTGAAAGAAAAATCTTCTTTCAGGGTCCCGTCCAAGCTGGGAATAAATAAAATGGAGGCTCCCTTCCTCCCTTCCTCCTTCCCGCCCCCCTCTCTCCCTCCCTCTCTCTCTGTCCCTCTCTCTCTCTCCCTCCCTCCCCCTCTCTCCCTCCCTCCCTCTCTCTCCCTCCCTTCCTCCCTTCCTCCNCCCTTCCTTTCTCTCCCTCCCTTCCTCCTTCCCTCTCTCTCTCTCTCCCTCCCTCCCTCCTACCCTCCCCCCCCTCTCTCAGGGTTGTTGTTGTGGTGAAAATAGAAAGAGGAAAGTGGGGCTGGATATGTTCACCACTGTGAGTTATTTGCTAAAAATAATGGACTTGGATTGGATTGGATTGGATTGAGCTGAATCCTTTATTTGGCCAAGACACACGAGGAAATTGTCCCCGGTGCAGAAGCACTCAGTGTACATGCAAAGCAACAGAATCCTTATCATCATCATAACACCAGTAAAAGCGGAGGGGAGTAATTAATCCTGGATATAAATAAAATAAATAAATAAGAAATGGACAAGTATCCTAAATGCCTTTGGTCTTCCAGCTGGTGAAGACGGCAGATTTGGATCCATCCAAGAACTACATCTTCGGCTTTCATCCACATGGCATCTTGCCAGCTGGCGGCATCATTAATTTCTGCACCGAAGCCACCGGCTTTTCCAAACACTTCCCAGGCCTGAAGCTTCACCCGACGATGTTGGATATGTTGTTCCGAGCCCCCTTTTTCCGGGATTACGTGATGAGTATAGGTAAGCCAACTTGGAAGGGATTTCTGATTCATTGGGAAACTTTTGGAAGAGCAAAATCAATCAGTCAATCCGAATAGAGCTGGAAGGGACCTTGGAGGTCTTCTAGTCCAGCCCCCTGCTCAAGCAGGAGACTCTATACCATTTCAGATGACAAATGGCTGTCCAGTCCATTCTTAAAAACCTCCAGTGATGGACTTCCGGTGGCTGCCAGCGGCCGATGGAGGCAATCTGACAGCCTCCCGTCAGCGTTCTATGTAAAAGCTGGCAAAACAGCGCGTATCAGCTGTTTGCCGGCTTCAGCCTTCTTCTCGGGCGAAGGGAAGAAGGTGAGCTGCTGGTGAGTAGGCGTAGAGTTCCCTAGTCTCCCTGAGGGCTCTCGGGGAGATGTAGGTGTGAACTCCGCCGGAGCTCACAGCCATCTCCATAGATCGGGACGTCTTCGTTCTAATGAAGCAAGACGCCGTTCCCACCTCCAATGCTAAAGATTTGAACTGTGAGTAAAGCTCTAAGAGACAGAGCTTACCAGGAACGCTGGATTTTTTGGATAAAATTTCAACTCTAACTCGATCTTCTTCAAGACATCTTCTGTAATGTTTAAGTTGAAAGTGAAACTTAAAGAAAAAAATGGCTGCGGTCAAACCGCTTCTTTGTTCTAAAGGAAAACTTTCACTTCTCTTCCAGTTGTGGATTGCTACAATGTAACAGACTGTAAAAATATAGAAAAATTGAAGGAAAAATCTAGAAAAATTCTAATTAAATGACTGCTGTTCTGCATTGACTTTTGATATTTTTTAAGATAATTTTACAATTATTTTTAAGTTACAATGGCTTCTAAACGTGGAACCTCTGCAGTGCCTAAAGCTCTTGCTTCATCTCCAGCTGTACAAATACCACAGCAGAAAGCAAACCCCCCCCCACCCTCTCCTCCTCCCTATATTACTCTCAAGGACTTACAAGATTCTTTGGCACAGCTCTCAAAACAAATGACACAACAAACACAGCAAATTATACAGCAAATGAGAGTGGAAACTGAGGAACTTCTTGTAAAGAAAAATGATGAATTGTGTGAGAATTTATCTCAAATTTTTCAAGGTTTTGCTTCTCATGTGGACCGTATAGATGAACGTATAGATGATGTGGGGGAGAAGATGGAGGGGATGGAGGAGAGAATGGAGGAGAGAATGGGAAAGGTTGAAGAAGAAGTGCAGATATTACAAAATGATAATGTGATGTCACAATTTAGAGAGATGGAACATGCTATAAGAATCAGAGGGTTAAAAGAGG